TGTTGAAATTTGTAGCAATTTACAAGCTGAAGTGAAGTCGAGGTTATTGCTTAAAGCCCTTATAGCAATATATAGGTTGTCTAAACCAAAGGAAGATGCTTAACGCTTGTTGAAATTTGTAGCAATTTACAAGCTGAAGTGAAGTCGAGGTTATTGCTTAAAGCCCTTATAGCAATATATAGGTTGTCTAAACCAAAGGAAGATGCTTAACGCTTGTTGAAATTTGTAGCAATTTACAAGCTGAAGTGAAGTCGAGGTTATTGCTTAAAGCCCTTATAGCAATATATAGGTTGTCTAAACCAAAGGAAGATGCTTAACGCTTGTTGAAATTTGTAGCAATTTACAAGCTGAAGTGAAGTCGAGGTTATTGCTTAAAGCCCTTATAGCAATATATAGGTTGTCTAAACCAAAGGAAGATGCTTAACGCTTGTTGAAATTTGTAGCAATTTACAAGCTGAAGTGAAGTCGAGGTTATTGCTTAAAGCCCTTATAGCAATATATAGGTTGTCTAAACCAAAGGAAGATGCTTAACGCTTGTTGAAATTTGTAGCAATTTACAAGCTGAAGTGAAGTCGAGGTTATTGCTTAAAGCCCTTATAGCAATATATAGGTTGTCTAAACCAAAGGAAGATGCTTAACGCTTGTTGAAATTTGTAGCAATTTACAAGCTGAAGTGAAGTCGAGGTTATTGCTTAAAGCCCTTATAGCAATATATAGGTTGTCTAAACCAAAGGAAGATGCTTAACGCTTGTTGAAATTTGTAGCAATTTACAAGCTGAAGTGAAGTCGAGGTTATTGCTTAAAGCCCTTATAGCAATATATAGGTTGTCTAAACCAAAGGAAGATGCTTAACGCTTGTTGAAATTTGTAGCAATTTACAAGTTGGAATTAAGCTGATTCCTTATCTTCACTTGTTGAAATTTGTAGCAATTTACAAGCTGAAGTGAAGTCGAGGTTATTGCTTAAAGCCCTTATAGCAATATATAGGTTGTCTAAACCAAAGGAAGATGCTTAACGCTTGTTGAAATTTGTAGCAATTTACAAGCTGAAGTGAAGTCGAGGTTATTGCTTAAAGCCCTTATAGCAATATATAGGTTGTCTAAACCAAAGGAAGATGCTTAACGCTTGTTGAAATTTGTAGCAATTTACAAGCTGAAGTGAAGTCGAGGTTATTGCTTAAAGCCCTTATAGCAATATATAGGTTGTCTAAACCAAAGGAAGATGCTTAACGCTTGTTGAAATTTGTAGCAATTTACAAGCTGAAGTGAAGTCGAGGTTATTGCTTAAAGCCCTTATAGCAATATATAGGTTGTCTAAACCAAAGGAAGATGCTTAACGCTTGTTGAAATTTGTAGCAATTTACAAGCTGAAGTGAAGTCGAGGTTATTGCTTAAAGCCCTTATAGCAATATATAGGTTGTCTAAACCAAAGGAAGATGCTTAACGCTTGTTGAAATTTGTAGCAATTTACAAGCTGAAGTGAAGTCGAGGTTATTGCTTAAAGCCCTTATAGCAATATATAGGTTGTCTAAACCAAAGGAAGATGCTTAACGCTTGTTGAAATTTGTAGCAATTTACAAGCTGAAGTGAAGTCGAGGTTATTGCTTAAAGCCCTTATAGCAATATATAGGTTGTCTAAACCAAAGGAAGATGCTTAACGCTTGTTGAAATTTGTAGCAATTTACAAGCTGAAGTGAAGTCGAGGTTATTGCTTAAAGCCCTTATAGCAATATATAGGTTGTCTAAACCAAAGGAAGATGCTTAACGCTTGTTGAAATTTGTAGCAATTTACAAGCTGAAGTGAAGTCGAGGTTATTGCTTAAAGCCCTTATAGCAATATATAGGTTGTCTAAACCAAAGGAAGATGCTTAACGCTTGTTGAAATTTGTAGCAATTTACAAGCTGAAGTGAAGTCGAGGTTATTGCTTAAAGCCCTTATAGCAATATATAGGTTGTCTAAACCAAAGGAAGATGCTTAACGCTTGTTGAAATTTGTAGCAATTTACAAGCTGAAGTGAAGTCGAGGTTATTGCTTAAAGCCCTTATAGCAATATATAGGTTGTCTAAACCAAAGGAAGATGCTTAACGCTTGTTGAAATTTGTAGCAATTTACAAGCTGAAGTGAAGTCGAGGTTATTGCTTAAAGCCCTTATAGCAATATATAGGTTGTCTAAACCAAAGGAAGATGCTTAACGCTTGTTGAAATTTGTAGCAATTTACAAGCTGAAGTGAAGTCGAGGTTATTGCTTAAAGCCCTTATAGCAATATATAGGTTGTCTAAACCAAAGGAAGATGCTTAACGCTTGTTGAAATTTGTAGCAATTTACAAGCTGAAGTGAAGTCGAGGTTATTGCTTAAAGCCCTTATAGCAATATATAGGTTGTCTAAACCAAAGGAAGATGCTTAACGCTTGTTGAAATTTGTAGCAATTTACAAGTTGGAATTAAGCTGATTCCTTATCTTCACTTGTTGAAATTTGTAGCAATTTACAAGCTGAAGTGAAGTCGAGGTTATTGCTTAAAGCCCTTATAGCAATATATAGGTTGTCTAAACCAAAGGAAGATGCTTAACGCTTGTTGAAATTTGTAGCAATTTACAAGCTGAAGTGAAGTCGAGGTTATTGCTTAAAGCCCTTATAGCAATATATAGGTTGTCTAAACCAAAGGAAGATGCTTAACGCTTGTTGAAATTTGTAGCAATTTACAAGCTGAAGTGAAGTCGAGGTTATTGCTTAAAGCCCTTATAGCAATATATAGGTTGTCTAAACCAAAGGAAGATGCTTAACGCTTGTTGAAATTTGTAGCAATTTACAAGCTGAAGTGAAGTCGAGGTTATTGCTTAAAGCCCTTATAGCAATATATAGGTTGTCTAAACCAAAGGAAGATGCTTAACGCTTGTTGAAATTTGTAGCAATTTACAAGCTGAAGTGAAGTCGAGGTTATTGCTTAAAGCCCTTATAGCAATATATAGGTTGTCTAAACCAAAGGAAGATGCTTAACGCTTGTTGAAATTTGTAGCAATTTACAAGCTGAAGTGAAGTCGAGGTTATTGCTTAAAGCCCTTATAGCAATATATAGGTTGTCTAAACCAAAGGAAGATGCTTAACGCTTGTTGAAATTTGTAGCAATTTACAAGCTGAAGTGAAGTCGAGGTTATTGCTTAAAGCCCTTATAGCAATATATAGGTTGTCTAAACCAAAGGAAGATGCTTAACGCTTGTTGAAATTTGTAGCAATTTACAAGCTGAAGTGAAGTCGAGGTTATTGCTTAAAGCCCTTATAGCAATATATAGGTTGTCTAAACCAAAGGAAGATGCTTAACGCTTGTTGAAATTTGTAGCAATTTACAAGCTGAAGTGAAGTCGAGGTTATTGCTTAAAGCCCTTATAGCAATATATAGGTTGTCTAAACCAAAGGAAGATGCTTAACGCTTGTTGAAATTTGTAGCAATTTACAAGCTGAAGTGAAGTCGAGGTTATTGCTTAAAGCCCTTATAGCAATATATAGGTTGTCTAAACCAAAGGAAGATGCTTAACGCTTGTTGAAATTTGTAGCAATTTACAAGCTGAAGTGAAGTCGAGGTTATTGCTTAAAGCCCTTATAGCAATATATAGGTTGTCTAAACCAAAGGAAGATGCTTAACGCTTGTTGAAATTTGTAGCAATTTACAAGCTGAAGTGAAGTCGAGGTTATTGCTTAAAGCCCTTATAGCAATATATAGGTTGTCTAAACCAAAGGAAGATGCTTAACGCTTGTTGAAATTTGTAGCAATTTACAAGCTGAAGTGAAGTCGAGGTTATTGCTTAAAGCCCTTATAGCAATATATAGGTTGTCTAAACCAAAGGAAGATGCTTAACGCTTGTTGAAATTTGTAGCAATTTACAAGCTGAAGTGAAGTCGAGGTTATTGCTTAAAGCCCTTATAGCAATATATAGGTTGTCTAAACCAAAGGAAGATGCTTAACGCTTGTTGAAATTTGTAGCAATTTACAAGTTGGAACTTTGATGATCTTTTCTCTTCACTTGTTGAAATTTGTAGCAATTTACAAGTTGAAGTTAAGCCGAGATTATTCCTTAATTCACTTGTTAAAATTTGTAGCAATTTACAAGTTGGAATTAAGCCGAGGTTATTGCTTAAGTTCTTATAGCAATATGTGGGTTGCTTAACCCTAAGGAAGATGCTTAACACTTGTTGAAATTTGTAGCAATTTACAAGTTTATGTTAAACCAACATATGATCACCCGCTGAGGTATACAGAAATTTACAGGTTGAAGTAAAGGATAAGTATATTATTTAAACACTTGTTGAAATTTGTAGCAATTTACAAGTAGGTTAGACCGAGATCACTGTTCAATACTTGTTGAAACTTGAGAAGAAACTTGCAAAGTTTACATTAAGTAGTATATGTTTTATACTTGTTAAAATTTATGAAAAGTTTGCAGGTCAGTAATTTGCCGAAGTAAAAGTTTTATAGTTATACCCGAGTTATATAACCCCGAGAAGATTACACAAAGGAAGCAAAATGAAAAAGCATGCAAAAACTTCTAAGTATAGAACTATGCAGAAGCAATCAACAGAACATCAGAAGATTAAAAACATTCATAGAAAGAACAGTTGCAGTTACATATAGAAAAAGATACGTCGGCCATAAGAAGGAGTTTTACATTATCCAGAAATTAAAAGAGAATACAAAGTGCAAAGTGCAGAAAAAGAAGGAAAAAGTACAAAAAACATTTTAAATCAAGACTCTTCAGTATTAGCAGCTGCAAGGACTGGGACGTCGAACGATTCTGGTGGAACCTCCTCGGCAACCTTTTCTGCTTCAATCTCAGCCAGCGTATTGTCCAGATTTCTTTCAGCCAAAAGAAGGTCGGATGATAGTTGCTCGATGGCAATTTCCTTGGGTGCCTCCCCAACCTCATCACCCTCCTCATCCAAGGTTAAATCCATCACTTGCTCAACAAGAGGAGGGGACTTAGTTTCAGCAGCATCCTTGGGTTTTCTCACCAAGGCCTCATCATCATTTTTCCCTTCATCCTCATCCTCGCATCAGCCTCAGTCTCTGACTCATTTTCAGCCTGACTTGGAGGAGGGAATGGTAAAGGAATGGCATCGGCATTACGAAAGGGCGAGTCAACAGGGAGATCAAGTTTTTTTATCAGGGACATCCAACCCAGGGAAAATCCCATGTTGCATGCCTGCCTGACTTGAAGTTTATAATCCTCTGTGACATCGGCCATACCCTGGGCGTAGGCCCTTTCATCAGCCTCTTTGACTTCGGCCTCCTTGGTGGCCAAAGCCTGCTGAAGCTCCTTCTCAGCCTGAGCCTTTTTCACTTCGGCCTCCTTCTTCTCAGCTTCAGCTACTTTTCGGATAGCCTCAGCAGACTCCGCTTTCTCTTCGGCCATCTGCTGGGCCTTAGTAGCCGCATCGGCCTGATCTTCCAGTTTTTTCATCCTTGATTCAAGAGATTTGATCTCTTTCCTCATGGAAGATGCTTCCCTCTTCATATCAACCAATCTTTGCCGATTTTCAAAAGATTGCATTGAAAATGAATGGGCGTGCTGAATGGCCTAAAGAAAAACAGAAGTATTAGAAAATATTCTCAGTAAAAAACAGAAGGAAAAATCACAAGTGCAAACAGGAACACTTACTTGAACGGAGTGTTGGAGCATAAGAGCGTAGTTCTCATACTCACTCAGTTCAGCATTTCGGTCCAAATCCTTCGGAAGGAGAAGAGTAGTGCTGAGGGCAACACCAACGTTGATATCGTTGGCACTTTCACTGGCCATAATAGGCCTATCCTCCAAAGTTAGTTGAGGGGCCCATGGAACGTCGGGCTTCTTGGACGCCGAGGTCGTCGCAGATGATGACCTTGGCCTCTTTGATTGTGTAGACCCCGAGGGTTGGGTCTCAGCAGATCTTTTTGTGGAAACAGAGGTAGTCTTTTTGCTCTCAGCCAGTTGAGAGATAGGCAAAGCATCCTCAGCCTCGGCATCAGTGGCCTTGGCTTTGGGCTGAGCCTTTTTTACTCTCTTCGGCTTTGGTGGGGGCATCGCATGCGTTGGTACAGCATCGGCGTCGGTCGGAAGGTCGGCAAGAAGATCTTGAACGACAGGCCTTGGACGAACCATCTCGGTAGTCTTTACAAGTCTTCGTCGACGTTTACGTTCTGGAATTGGTATCAAGTAGGGGGCCGAAGTGGACGGAAGATCGGCTGGGTCAGAGGTGGATCCTTGATCTGTTCGGGATGAAGACGCGGTTACAGTTGTGGTAGTAGGAGGAGAAAGACTCTTTTTCTTCTTTTTTGGGACGTCGGGTAATGTGGATTTGTATGTTGGAATGAAATTCAGCAACAAGGGAGCCTTGCGCTTGTGGATAGGAAGACCAAAAGCTTCTTTAAGTCTTTTCCAGGGAAGAAGGATTGACGGAAGTTCTTTGGTGGTTGATGAAGATCTGCAGGACAAGTAAACAGACATTAGAAACAGACAAAATTTTAAAGACTTAAATAAAAACAACTAAGTGTTGGCACTGGGCTCTTACCCTTGCCCTCTTTAACTGATCGAGGAAGAGGGAAGAGATGGACATCTTCGTCTGGGCCAAATTCCCAATTTCCCGAAGCAATAACAAAGTCATCCCCAGCCCCCTTGTTAGAGTCTGGGAGGTCGGCTACAATTTTGAACTCGGTAGACCTCGGCTTAAGGTAATAAACAAAGCCCATTTCCTTCAGGTTGAGGGGGCACATTGTATAACAGTACTGAAGGTCGGCCGGGGTGATCCTAAGATTCTCCTGCCTAGCTAAAGCTATAATACCGTTAATCACCCTATAGGAGTTGATGGTAAGTTGCATAGGGTTCAGCTTGTAGAAATAAAGAACTTCACGAAACAAGGGATCAAGTGGAAGCCGAAGTCCACATTCAGTAAAGGCAACTATAGGAAAGGGCATCGTATGGTCTGTGGGCATGATGGTATCATCATCCCCAACTAGCTTAAGGTGAACATCGGCTGGGATAGAGAATTCCTGCCTACAGTATTCAAGTTTTGTTGGGGTATTTACCCTATGCCTCCACATACCCATTACGTCGGCCTAAACAAAGAGGAGTATGTTTCAGAAGAGGGGCGTTTTAGAAGGATTGCAAAAACCTCGCCAAAGGCCTAGGAAAGGACTGATAAGGCTTGTTTCGGTTTTTCCTAAAATTTGAAGGTTCTACACACAAATCCCAAGCCTAAGAACTATAAAGATCAAGATCGAAAGCACAGATCTGGGACAGATACAAAAAAGAGAAAACAAAGACGAAGTTTCAAATTCAAGAACAAAGATGGACTATCAGAAACACGAAGAATACAAAGGGATAAAGGTCAAGAATTATGGCAAGAAAAGTGTTGAAACAGTGCAAATGTTCAAAATATGAGAGAAATCGAGCAACAAAGCAGTAATGGTAAAAACACATAAAAAGATTGGGAGTAAAGGAAACAGGGCCTTACCAGAACAAATGAAGTCGGAAAGAACGACGACGAGAAATGGTAACGATTGCAGGCACAACGAAACGGAGGAAACTTCGCTAAGGTGAAGGGACAAAAAATCGCAGAACTTCGAGTTAGAACAATGGCAGATTCGAAAGAGCTTTTGCAGAGAGAATGCAAGAAACCAGAATGCAAAAAGTAAAAAAAGGAAACGATGGAAAGAAAAGTTTTGTCAAAAACGTGAAACGGCGGCAAAAATAGGGCATTTATTACGCCTAGAGCAACGCACGCGCTCAGACGGCGCGCAGCAAAATGACAGACAGCTTTTCAGGCGCGTCACAGACACGCTTCACATGAAGACAATACCGTTGGAAAAGAACGGTTAGGAGTGCATGACAGCTCATGCGCGTGGGAGAGTACGTTCGAAACCTTGTTCTCCGAAGAGAATACATCGGCTGGAAGTGGATTATCTCGGCTAAACAGTTTTTTGAGCCATTACTCAGAAAAGAAGTGACAAAATTTCGGAATAGGTTCCATCACCTCAAAATGCCGAGGTAATAGAACCTAGGGGGCAGTTGTGGGGATATATTTTCTGAATACCAACACGTGGCATGGTGACGCCGACGTGTCAGCCGAGGTGCCACGTGTCCTGGTCGTGACGCCGAGATAATCTCGGCGAGGCCGAGGTTAACTCCGAAGATATCGGAATCCAAGATAAGTGAATAAGGGACAAGAGTCCTAAGACGAAGAGGGGACTTAACCAAGATAAGGATAAAGCTCTTAGGGAGTTTATCTTTATCTTTTAAAGAGTCCAAAGTAAGCACTAAATTGAAGTTCATAGAAGTCATACTTCTAGTAGGACTTGGATTGAATATATTATAAAAGAGAGGCACCCCCGTGGGCCTAAGGTATGCAATTTATGTTTTGAGTATTAAGTTTTGCACTTGATTATCTTTGAGGATATACTAACTTGATCGTCGGAGTGCCCCCGGGTGGAAGAACCACCGCCGGAGCCTTTTCTTTCTGTTTCAGGTTGCTGAAGCCATCTATTCTGCCTGTGCTCTCCAGTTGATCACTAAGCAGGCAGTGTGGTCAGATTTTCACCCATACAAAAATATAATAAGTACAACATTATTTAAGAAAAAGTGCACCAATTATAAAATCTAAAAATTAAAATCAAACCTTATAAAAATTTTGAAATATGAAATTATGGAAATTACAAAACATAAATGCATAAATAATATTATAACCATATGTATCATCCAAAAGAAGAATAAACTTACAATGAAAATTTGTTAATAAATATGCACATTTTCTTAATTGCCTCTGTTATCCATATTTATGTACTTGATAAATATAGATTTTAAACCGTTGAACCTCGGCCGAAGAGATTGAAGATTTATTTTATAAAATACACTTAGATTAAATAAGCACAAAAAATTAACATAATTGTTAGATGCATAATAGAAATAAGGATGTGGGAGGCTAAAGATTAGAAATTGATCTTTATAAGAAAACATAAACTTACAATGAAAAAATTTATCAATTGATTTCTTCACAATTGCTCCACCACTAATAGCTACAATACTTGATGAACACCGACTCTAATTTAACTCGAATCCAATAAGTACAAGAAAGAAGATTTATGAGAGATGTGAATTGTTTCTCATAGTTTGTGATACACAATTTTAAAATTTTAAAATTGATTTAGTCTTCTTTCTTTTTAAACTCATAAATTATGAGAAAATTAGATTTGTTTTTAATAGTTATATGGCACATTTTTGAATTTTGAAATGGGTTAGTATACTTTCCTTTTACATTTCATAAATCATTAGATGGTTATACTTTTATTATTGAGAAAGTGTTACCCAATAGATTTTTAAAATTTTTTTTAATAATAAATAAAAATTAATCAAGAACTTAGTATGTGAGTTTGGAAATAAATAAATAAATAAAATGTAATTTTAAAAGCTTACTATATTGAATTTTGAAATGAGCATTATTATAAATTTTGAAAAAGATTTCTATATTACTTATAGCATAGATAACGTAACCATTTGAAAAGTTTTTATAAATTTTAGATTCTGTTGAATTGTTTATTATATTTAATGACACATAATTTTCAATCTTGAAATAGAAAATATATATATATATATATTTAAAAATCATAAATTATGGAATAATTAGAGTTTTTTATCATTATAATTAGATTATAGTGAATTGCTTCTATATTAGTAGCACTCAAATTTAAATTTAAAAATAATTGAGCATACTTTCCTTTCAGAAATCGTAATTTATGGAATAATTAGATTTTAATTGTTATTGTTAAATTAGAGTTAACCAATAGACTTTTTTAAAAATAAAAATAATTAGATTTTAGTGAGTTGCTTCCATATATAGTAGAGTTTTATTGTTATGATTAAATAAGAGTTTATCTAATAGAATGTTTTTTATTATTTAAAAATCATAAAATTTAGTCTGAGGGTTTAGAGCTCCCACCACTATTTAAAAAAAGTATTTTTTGCGACCGCTACAAGCCGCGCAAATAATAAAAAGACAGTTGCAAAAGACTTTTTGCGACGGCCCATGCGACGACAAATAGGGATCGCGAATGTGGGGGTGACAAATACTTTTTGCGACTGCAAAATGGCAACCGCAAACTATTTGCAACCGCCTAATCTACCTATAGCGACCAATGTTTTGCCGTCGCAAAAAAAAAATTTAAAAATGCCTACAATGTATAGCAACCTATATTCTCATATATATATATATATATTCAAATATTATATACAATAAATGTAAAGTGATATTTGCAAAAATTCTAATACTCATGTATTATTTTCCATCACTTCCCTCAACAAAATTATCTTTCTTCAAAAAAAAAAAAAGTGTGCATACAAAATATAAACTTCTATACATGCAAAACAAATATCCATCTACCATCCTTAAAAGTATTTATACAAAATACTAATATATTCAATTACTCAAAAAATAAAAATAAAAAATACCTCAGTTTAGCTCTCAATATCACCCACTCAATCATATCAACTACTCCCTCAACACTATCTGCAAAAATATACATCAATATATTAGTTGACTAACTTGGATGCCAAAACAAAAATGGATACAAAGAGCACATTAATTGACAAAATAATCAACTCCAAGAATATTGAAAAATTACTTGAACTGGATTATCTTCTAATTCAACTAGACAAATCAGTGATGCTAATTGCGTAAAGAACACCCTGCAACAGAAATTTTAAAAATTTGAGTCAGGAATTTTTCTAAGAGTAAGTAACTGTGCTACAGTACCAATTTAACTACAACTGAATTCATAACACAGAACTCATAAAGTAAATGCACAACAGATAAATGATCATACAGACACATAAAATATTGTTAATTTATATTACATCCCACTAGGGAGCATTCTTCCTTAATCGGGTTGCCAAAGGAGTCCTATATTTGGACATATTGGGAATAAAATTGCCTATGTAATTTACAATACCATGAAACTATTGGACCTGCTTGTATATAAGATGTTCATTAAGGAAAATTTGTGAGTCTAACCATCACATCATACCATATAGAAGCAAAAACTAGATGATAACGCAACAGTACCTTTGACTGCTTCATGAACTCATTCATGACCCTTTTGTAACAATCCTCACAAGAAGAGATTAATTGATCAGCGATATCAAACTAATTAACTACCAGCCAAGTAATTCTATAGGCTTAATACACTTTAGTGTTGTTCCTCAAAATGCGAGGACTTTTACCACAATCATGCTCCAAAATGAACTCCAAATTCTAGATGCATTGGTACACCTTAAACTCAACATAGTAAACCCAAATGCACTGAGAATTATCAAATATAGATAACAATAAGAACTAAGAAATAGTGTATATTCCCAAGATTGTGTTTTAGAACATCTTAGTAGAATTTTCGGTACCATGGGTCCATGAGTCTGAGATATTCATCAATAACAAGTATTACAAAAGATGATAACTTCCTGACATATCATTTTCAAAAAAATAATAATACTACTAATAATAATAATAAGCTCATAATTTTTCAATGTAAACTTACACGTAAAGCCATCTTCTTAAGTTCGTTCATTGCAGAAAACTGCTTCAGGCGTGATAGCACTGCAAAATCAAGAGGTTTATCTGGGGCATCTCTGTCATCAACAATCCATTGGTGGCCTGAGAACAACAAAAAGAACAAAAAAGAAAAAGAGAAAAGAGTCCCTTCATTATGATCACCTCATAGAGATGCAAAGGCTAACCATGCTATTACACAATTAAACCATACTTTCCAACAAAATTCCAACATATGATCTTCCTTTGTAGTGGTGAAGGAAACTTATTACACAAAACTTCATGGGCAGATAGCCTTCTCTTTGGATTTCTGTCAAGCACTCCAAAGAGTAAAATGTACAAAATAACTCCAGCAGTCCATACATCTGTTTCAAGTCCATAGTGCTTATGCAACACCTCTGGCGTAACATAATATGGACTCCCAACCACATCAGAAAAAGATTCACCTAGAAAAAGAGGAAACAAGCAGCAGGTCATGTCAAAATGAGGCCAAACCAAAAAGTTTCACAAGGAAAAGCAAAAGTTGTCTCAATTAGTGTAGAAACAACCGATAGGATGAATAACAAGATAACCAGAGATCATGCACAATAAAAAATAAGAACAAACCATTGATTTGATTTGTCTATGATAAATTATGAGATCTCAACTAACCTTTTTCAAAGAAAACAAAAACAAAAATACTGCCCATTCCCAACAGTCTCTTTAAGTAAAATTGCCACTCACTCATCACCCCTTATATCCTTTTCACATGCATTAAAAACAAATAAATTAAAAAGGTACATTCTATGATAATCAAAACATAATACAAATACTTCTATGATAAATTACTAATCTCATTCATTATCTTATGTTATATTAATTCTATTCATAATCTCATTTTATTATGACCACAAAATCCATACTAATAATCAAACAAGACCTAAAACAAGGAACTGAAGCTAAATGTAACTCAAGTAATTATACCATCGACATAACAGAGATGGAATGCAATGTGCAAATTTTCCTGTGGGGGAAAACTGTGCACAAAATGCAAGAACATGAAATTGAAACTATTAAAACTGATTTAGTGAATGACCTTTGCCAAAACTAGTGTTGTTCTCTAGTTACTAAAACTATTAACAATACAAACTTGAGATATCTCTCTCATTAAGTTCCTAATGCTCTGTTTTCGTGGAAGGATTTATGGAGAGAAGGGAAAGATGAAATATATATATGCCTTGTGTTTCATTCATTTTTTCCTTCCCTTTATTTAGCCTTCTCAAATCTAAGATCCAACTACGACCTAACCTGAGTGAAATGCAAAATTTACACAGTAATATTCGGGTGATTAAAAATAAGTCATATCCAAAAAGCTAAATTTATTTCTTGACTTCCTATCATTTTCCATTCCTTCCTTTCGTTTCTTTTGGTAAATTCCTTCACAAATCTATGAGCCAAACATAACCCATCAGTCTCCAAAGTTCAATTTTAAAGTTCAACTTCAATGTAATATTCAGCTAAACTAGTTTGCTTCAGATTCATATGACATAGTAATATTCAGCTAAACTAGTTTGCTTTAGATTCATATGTCTATGTATACGCAATCAAAACAACCAAATATTCAGCTAAACTATTTGTTTAGGAATCAACCAACACAAACCTCAATTAATATCCAGCTAAACTAGTTTGCTTCAATTAATATTCATAAGTTAGAATCAACATGACACAATTAAGAATTGGAAGGTCAAGCGACAACAATTAAGAATTGAATAGTTCAGCTTGTACAAACTAGTTTAGCAAATGAGGAAGGATTGATTCAAACCAAAGCTTCATCGAAAGGTGATCTATGGTTGTGACTAGAGAGAGAGAGAGAAAGAGAATTAGATTGACAAAAAAGTGATCGAATTACAGTGTGAATGAATTACAATGAGAAAGAGAGTTAGACTGAATGAATGATTCGAAAAGACTCACTGAGTCGAGAGAGAGAAAGGGAGTTCATACTGTTGGTGATCTATAGACCGAAATCGATCACAAGCAATCCCACAGTTCTTGAGAATCGATCACAATCAATTTCTTCAGACGATCGAGTGAGCGAAATCAGATTTCACAATCGAGCGAAATCAGATTCTTCATCACGACCATGGTCTCTTCTTCAAACAATCAAGCGAGCGAAATCAAATTTGGGGGAAATCAGTCGGGAGTGTGAGAGTGAAAACGGTTAGGGCATAGGTATAAGAAAAGGAAAAAATAAATAAAAGAAAAAATTATCAAGGATGTCATTACAAATATTATTTTTTGCGACGGTCAAATAATCATTCGTAAAAAATTAGTCGCAAAAAGTCACTTTTCTAATAGGGCACAAGCCTCGTCATTAGAAAGACCTTTTTCCTTATATATATAGATATAGATTAGTCAAGCAATTATTCATCTTTGAATAAGTTGTATCGTTTAGTTTAATCAGCATTTGTAATTGTACATTTACTTTGAGAGTTTTTTTTTCTGTATTATTTGTTAAACCAATGCTATATCCTCCAAAATTCCCCCCTCCCCCAAAACTCCCTTTAATGATATGACAAATAATACCAACCAATCAACTCTCTTTAAATTGCTTATCACATCATTAGAAGAAAAAAAATGAGGGGGTGGAACATTTTTTATTTTATATATCATATTTAATTGTTGTCATTATGATTGAATTTCATTATAATATCATATATGAATCAAAAAAAATTATTATCTAATCTTACATGCGTATAGTTGGAGCCTTGGTTTCAATTGCTATATATTTTTAAGGGGAAATTTCTTACTGTATGACTTAAACTAATTATAAATAAGTAATAAAGTTTATAAATATTAATAATTAAAATTATAAATTTTGTCATAAATATAAAATAATTATTTTAAATTACCACTAATTAGTAATTTGTCACGACTCAAACCGGCCTCTATGGACTTAGCATTGTAACTGATCAGTAATCCGTGATTACCAAATGCCTGTTTATCAATAATGACAATAATACAATAAAAAGGGACTAGCAGAAGCCAATCAATAATAGAACATATTGTCTAATGAGCTGTGAGGATTTAAATGAACAAGATAATCTTTCTTATACTTGTATATGCACAACATAAGTCCACAATTCACTTATAGACAAAACAAAACATAAGTTAGGGAATTAAATCCCATTGCCAAAATAGTAGTAACAAAAGTCATAAAACACATGTAATCCTTAATTACAAATCAAAAGGATGAATTCAAGCCACCCAAGCTTTGACACGTGTTGGTTCGGAATCTCGTGGTGAGACACAATTATTGGCTTGACAAAAACAAGATTTGGGTCGACGCCGCTAACTCTGGTTCGCTGCTCGATCACTTACATATATATAATAAATAATGATCTAGAGCCCAGTGAATAACAACTATGTAAAGGGGTTATGAATGATGTCCTTACAATAATTGAAACAATCAATTTATCAATAGATCATTTTCTCAACTAATATCTCATCTCATATCAATCGTTTCGATTCATAATAGTCATGCGTGGTATATCCAATAGCAGAACAATTCAGTAGGTCTTAAAGACCGAACAATTATTTGATGGCCATCAATACAATAAACAATAATTCCAAGAATTCAAACTGACAGAGATCTCCATAACAATAGCAATATGCTATGGATGCCACGGGTGCAGTTCAGAAAATAGGCTAATCATTCAATCAGTAAAAAGTCTCAGTTCAAAAAACAATACATTTTATCAATCAGAAAATAATTACAATTAAACATAGCTGTACAACAGTGTTACTCATGGTGCGCTCCTTGAAATACGTGCTAAGATGTACTAGAAATTCAACGTTCAACCTAAACAACCAATTTCAAGCACAACAACTCAATACATAGTTCAGTCATTCAGTCGATTACTTATTCGGTTTCTATACGTTATTCACTCGTTTGATTCTAACTTTCATTCTTTATTTCTTTCGTGCCTATAATATGCATATGAATGCAATGCCCAGAAAAAACACTTTAAAACTATGCAAGCAGTGGCCCAGAAGGTAGAAAAATAGAGCGAAAACAAATCCAGGGCCTAATCAAAACAGCACGTGTGGGATGCCCAATCCGCACGTGCGGATCCAAGCAGCCTGTACACCATCAACCTTGTTTTTTGCACGTGCAAAACCCCAAGCTGCACGTGCGGTTCTGGGTATGTTTGGTTCAAAAACCTGCCTCATTTTTTAAGTCTTAATTTTTCAATTCCAACTCCATTTTCATGCAATTCAAGACCCAAAACCTTTCATGAACATATTTAACTTTAAACAAAATTATAACTTCAAATCAAAACTAAATTTTCCATGCAAAAGTTTCAAGTTTTATATTGTAATGAAAGTTCATAGAACTTGTATATTTGAGCTTCAAATCTTCAAGACCCATGGCATTTCCTCTCAATTTTGGACACTCGTGTAAGAAAACAAATGTATGATCATGGATTTCATGAAATCTATTCCATGCAACGATCAAACTTTTAGATTCAAAGGATAAAACCATGAAACCATACATATATGAGTTCTAAGTCCAACACTTTGAAGATTTCTTATAAAACCATGCAAGAAATGATGTATTTTGAAACTTCAATCTCATAGCTCAAGAAATCCTTTTGGAAACTTTAGAATCCATGAAGTTCATGCAAGAATTTATATGATATAACAAGAATATCATGAATTCATGCCATGCATGTAAGATTTATTTCAAACTCTTAACCATGGCTTTCAAAACATGAGATTAGACTTCATGGCTCCTAAAATCATGGATGCATGGGACAAATAACTCTGAAATTCTTACACATTCATGCTCAAAATGGTGATTCTACACGTAAATGTTCATGCATGTAAGCTAATCTTCCATATTCATCATCTATGAGCTCTCTCTTACATTAACTCCATAATTTCCTTAAATCCAAAGATGAGATGAGTCTAATTCATAAATAAACACTTACCTAGAGCTTGATTTCAGATTATAGGATGGTCTCTTCCTAGCTCTCTTCTTCTTCCTCTTCAAAATCTTGAGCTCTCTCTCTCTCTCTAGATGAGTTCTCTCCCTCTCTCTCTCTCTCTCTCTATATATATATATATATATTCTCAACACAGTGAACCAAGGGAATAAAAACATTCCTTCTAAGCACCAGACTATACACACACCCTCACATTTGAATTGGACAACAGGTGTAGTCTCATACACACACCCACATTGACTTCTCTACATACACACACCCAGATCTCAGTACACTCACCAGAATTTAATCTCCTACACTCACCATCAATAAATGCCTAAAAACTTACTACACTTGATCAAATTTTAAATCATAAATAGAGCTGAATTAGATACTAATCATGCAAC